GCGCCATCCCGCTTCGCCGCCGCTTCGCCGCCGCCGCCGCCCCCCCCCCGCGGCTCCCTGGAGGATTTCGCCGTGGCTGCCCTCCGAGGGAGCTCCTCACTGGGAGCGGTCCGCGGCGTTCGGGCGTGCTCGTCGCTTCCGCGGGGCCCTGCCTGCCTCGGGATGCTCTCTGGCAGCAGCGCCTCGCCGAGGGCGCTCCCGAAGTGCCCGCATCGTGTGGAGCGGCCGCTGGGGGCCCGAGTTACATCTGGCCCGAAAGCCACCACAGGCCTGCTGGGGGGAGGGAGGGGGGCGGACCCCACGTCGAAGAGGGGGAGGATCGAGTCAGTACGGGTTCCGCGTGACCGCACGGCTTCGAGACTTGGGTCGTTCTCCGAGGACGTCTCGGGCGATTGGGGCCTCCAGGGTCTCGAAACGGTGCGGTGACGGACCGCGGAGTGAGGTCTTTGCGAATTTCGAAGTCACCGCACTGTCTGCTGCCGCACCGTTCTGGGTCTTCCAATAGTCGAGCGACGACAACGAGGCCTCAGTTGGATACGCCCGTGGGCCAGCCGGGGAGGCTGCAAATAGGGCGGCCCCAGGGGGCCCAAATTCATTCACAGCTTGGAGGACCAACTGATGTAATGTTTACCCGGAGTGCCGCCCCACCAAACACATCCCACACATGTTCGAAGGGTCACGTTATATACAAATCCCCGCAGCTGCGGATAAGAGAGAGGGTGCTTGGTGGCGTTCTTAGACGCCACGGCGCGCTCGCTGCTAACGGGATTTGAACCGAAACCGCTACGGACACACCGCTAACGGGATTTGAGCCGAAACCGCTGCGGACACACCGCCCCTCTTCGGTGAGCCCTCCGAGCGCGCCAGCGTGGCCCCCCAGCGTGGCCTCCCAGCGTGCCCTCCAAGCGTGGCCTCCCAGCGTGGCATCCCAGCGTGGCCTCCCAGCGTGGCCTCCCAGCGTGGCCTCCCAGCGTGGCCTCCCAGCGTGGCCTCTCAGCGTGGCCTCCCAGCGTGGCCTCCTAGCGTGGCCGCCGGAGAGACGACCCCAAGAGGGCTTGTACTTGTCTGCGAAGCACTTCTTGTCGGAACTTGCGTGGATATCGGTAGTGCAGTGTCTTCTTCCTGCCGGACACCAAGGAGACGGCCAAGGGCCGCTGGCTCAGCTCGGCGTTCGAGACGGCGGCCGCGATCGCCAGCTGCCCAGGTGTCGACTGGCACAGCCGCTCGTGGCCCGCGACGTCATAACCCATGGACGCTGACTGCGCCGTCGATTACGTTCTGGAGCACGTGCTGGAGACAAGCGTCGCGAGATCCCCAAGCACATCGGGGTGTACGCCTCGTCGGCCGCCTCCCCCCTTTTCCCTCTTTTGCAAGCTGGCCAATGCGCTTTTCGGTGCCCCCGGCTAGCTCCCTCGCTGGTGCAACTCTCGCTTCGCCGCCGACGGAAAACGTAGGCCTCGTCGGGCTCTCCTTCGGTGGCGCAGTCGTGAATCACTGGGGCGGCGTTCGAGCCGACTGGGGTGGCCCATGCAGCCCGTTCAGTTCTTCTGGGCGGTCTATTGGTTAGCACTTCGCGCAGTGGAATCGCGCCCCTGTCGCGTACCTCCCCTCTCTCCTTGCACTATTGCCTTCGCTGACCAGGCAGAGTTCGTTTCGTCTGGATTCCCGGCCACAGTACATGCTCGGACGCTCTGGAACACAAGTGTGTGTGTAGTCCTCCTAGCTTGCTTTTCCTCTTCTCCCGTTGTCGGGCACAGCTGTTGGCTTGGGTGCGCATCCTGACATGTGTGTATATGTTTGTTGGATGCTAGAACTTCCGAAAGGAGGGAGCTCTGTATGCCATACGATGCCGTGGGTCCCACCTGCTGGGCTTTCACCGTGTGTCACGCTCCGTGGCAGGCTCGCACGATGCGGTCTCACTCTAGCTCCATTTCGCTTCCTCCACCCGTATCTCTGAATTCCCCATCCCGCTTCCTCATGTCCCCCGCCTTCCGCGGGCGGACGCGCGTTGCTTCGAGTGGAGTCCGCTCGCATGAGAGGTCGTTGCGCTCGCAGCTTCCCTGCCACCACCTGGTGGAAACATATGCCTGTCGTTCGCGCCGATTTCCCGACCGCTCGGTTCTGGGCGGTCTTGGGCACACCTCAGGGGCAAGTTGAGGAGGGATTGGCTCAGGGGGAGATGTATCGACCATAATGGCCCACTGATCGCCGATGTGGGCCCAATAGCCCTCTCCGCCCAGGGTCGTTCGTATTTGCCATCGTGAGCCTATCGTCGATCTTTCGGGAATGGGGATGGTGCGGTTTGGGGGGGTATCAGGGGGAATGGTGCGGTTAGGATAAACGGCGTATTCTGAGATGTTGCACACCTCGTCCCCACGGATGTGCAGCGGCCGCGGTTTAGTTTTCGGGGTCAGCGTCGGCCGAGTGCGACGCTGTCCCCGCGCCTGCAGCGACGGCGACGATGCAGTCGTGGAAATCCTGGCAGGTGCTGCGTCATACAGTCGGGGCGCTGAAGAAGGAACCCTTTTCGTAGGGGAGGGGCTCCGTGTTCCTTCATTGTTTTACAGCTTGCCTGAGGTTTTCCTCAGGTTTTCGATGGGAAATCAAAGCTTAACTTGTGGAAAAAAGTGGCACCGCTTCTTATTTAGGGTTCCTTAGGTCAACGCCCCGACTGTACACACATGCGGTACGCTATGCCATGACGGCGTGCTACGGGCCCTGGCCACGCATGCCCACCTAGCTTGCGGTACCGAGGTTTCGGTCTGGCCGATTCGGCCGATCACGGTAGGCACACCAAACACGAGCTCGGCCTGCCGGCAGGTGCCCCGACGCTCTGGGGCGCCTTGGCGCCTTCAGCGATGGGCGAGCAGTGTGCCCCAAGATTTTTCACAACCGCCCTGTGGTGTCGGGTCCTCGTTCTCAAGGGAGAGTGCCCCGCGTTCCTTCCCCCTCCTCCTGCTCCTCCCTCCCTCCCCATCCTTGCCTCTGCCTTCAGCGTGTCTGTGTTTCGGCACACCCAGTGCAGCAGTCCGCGGCCCCGTAGGGAGCTCCACCGAAGGCCCCAGCGGCATGGTCCACAAGGCGGCGCCGCCCTATTTTGGCGCACCTGTCACACGGTTCGTAGCCCCATAGGGAGCTCCACCGAAGGCCCTAGTAGGTCTACATAGCGGCGCCGCACCTTTTTGGCGCACCCTTTACACGGTTCGTAGTCGCATGAGGAGCTCCACCGAAGGCCCCAGCGGCAGGGTCCGCATGGCGGCGCCGCTCCATTTTGGCACACCCCTCTCACGGTTCGTGGCCTCATATGGATCTCAGCCGAAGGCAACAGTGGCGGTGCCGTTCCATTTTGGCGGACCCCTCACACGGTTCGTGGCAGCATAAGGGGTTCCACCGAAGGCCCCATTGGCAGGGCCCACATGGCGGTGCCGCTCCATTTTGAGGCACCCCTCATACGGTTCGTGGCTTCATAGGGATCTCAGCCGAATGCCCCAGTGGCGGCGCCGCCCCATTTTGGCGCAAAACTCACACGGTTCGTGGCCCCTTAGGGATCTAAGCAGAAGGCCTCCGTGACAGGGTCACATGGCGGCGCCGCACCAGTTTGGCGCACGTTTTACACGGTTCGTGGCCATTATGCGTTCCATTGGCGGCCCCAGTAGCAGGGTCCACATGGTGGTGTCGCCCCATTGTGGCGCACCCCTCGCATGCTTCGTGGCCCCACAGGGAGTTCCACCGAAGGCCCCATTGATATGGTCCACACGATGGTGCTGCATAATTTTTGCGTACCTTTCACATGGTTCGTGGCCACATAGGATAGGGATTTCAGTCGAAGGCAGCACTGGCAGGGTCCATATGGCGGCGCCGTCCCATTTCGGCGTACCCTTTACACGGTTCGTGGCCCCATCGGGATCTTAGCAGAAGTCCCCAGTGGCAGGGTCCACACGGCGGTGCCGCCCCATTTTGGCGCACCCTTCGCACGGTTCGTGGCACCATAAAGAGTTTCATTGGCGGCCCCAGGAGGAGGAGGAGGAGGAGGAGGAGGAGGAGGAGGAGGAGGAGGAGGAAGAGGAGGAGGAGGAGAGGAGGAGGAGGAGGAGGAGGATGAGGAGGAGGGAGGAGGAGGGGGGAGGAGGAGGAGGAGGGGGTGGGAGGAGGAGGAGGAGGAGGAGGAGGAAGAGGAGGAGGAGGAGGAGGAGGAGGAGGAGGAGGAGGAGGAGGAGGAGGAGGAGGATGCGGAGGAGGAGGAGGAGGAGGAAGAGGAGGAGGAGGAGGAGGAGGAGGAGGAGGAGGAAGAGTAAGAAGAATAAGCAGAAGAAGAAGAATACGACGAATACTAATAATAATAATAATAATAATAATAATAATAATAATAATAATGATAAGAATAATAATAATAATAAGAAGAATAAGCATATTAATAATAAGAATAAGAAGAATAATACTAATAAGAAGAAGAAGACTAATAATAATAATAATAATAAGAATAAGAAGAATACTAATACTAAGAAGAAGAAGGATGAGAAAACGAAGAAGAACAATACTAAGAAGAAGACGAATAATAATACTAATAATAATAAGACGAAGACTAATACGACGAATCATAATTATAAGAAGAAGAATACGACGAATACGAATAATAATACTACTAATAAGAATAATAAGCATAATAAGAATACTAAAAATAAGAAGAATAATACTACTAATAATAAGAATAATAATAAGAATAATACGAATAAGAAGAAGACGAACAATAATAATAATAATAATAATAATAATAATAAGAATAATAATAATAAGAAGAAGAATAAGAAGAATAAGAAGAAGCATAAGAATATTAATAATAAGAAGAAGAAGAAGAGGAGGAGGAGGAGGAGGAGGAGGAGGAGCAGGAGGATAATGAGGAGGAGGAGGAGGAGGAGGAGGAGGAGGAGGAGATGGAGGAGGGAGGAGGAGGAGGAGCGGAGGAGGCGGAGGAGGCGGAGGAGGAGGAGGAGGAGGAGGAG